TCGGCTCGTCTGTGTTCTTTTGGAATTGAACTAGTCGTACTCGTGTCACGTGCGGCTCGACCTCAGCTTCCAATTGTTCATCCTCATCGTCCCCGTTCAGGAACGAGGACAAAGGGGGTGGAGTGACTCGAAGAGCCTCAGCGCTATAGACTTCATGCGCGATCACATCGTGTGTTTGGAGCAGGGCCTAGAAAAAATATTTGTGCATTGAATATGATGATGAAGATCAGTGATGGAATGGGACAGAAATCATGCACAGATAGTTCCGTTCAACTGATATGCTAAAATATCGCGATTACGGTAAACTGCACTGTCTGAAAGCATTACTATCCACGGAACAAATGGGACGGTTAATTTTGAATCAAACCGTAATCTCACCATTATGAGATTGTACCACGCTAGGATGCGCAACCGGTTTAACTCTATAGTGAATAAGATATCGAAAACCTAGTAGACCACCACTGAAATGCTTTGTCCGGCTGTTTTTTTATCCGTCTTAGGCATGTTCAATAGTTATGTTCATCGTCCAAACTGAGATTCGAACCGGGGCAAGAGTGGGGGTAATGAATCCGACGGGATGGCCACTTGCGCTATTGCCCTTGATATCTAACAGCATGCTTTGTATCAACATGACAAGATCAAACCGTTGTCCGCCACTGACGATGAACCAAGTCCGTGCTGGGTATTGCGAAGACGCAGTAAGAACAAAAATTTATAGACCTACTGGACGGGAAGTTGTTTCGGCGAAATTAAAATATCCATATAATTGAAGAATACAAGTGACGTATGAGTAAAAATCTGTGAATTCCTCAAGAAAATTTATCTACCTTGGCCTGGGCACCTGGCAGTATTCCGTTCACATGGAAATCATGGAACGTCTTCCTTTTGCATACAAACTATTGTATCATGATTTGTTTGGCACACAGTTTGGCGTCAGACGTATGTACAGTCAATAATGATAATAACTAATCTTTCGGAAGTAGAACGTCAACCGTTCCCGTCAGACGATGACTGACATGAACCTGGTCGGAGTTTGAGGCGAATGAAAGCGAGAAAAAGTCTTTGAAAAACAAACTCGGTCAATTGCAATGTATTTTTTTGTGTGCTGGGGGTTCAATCCTCAATTCTGTTTGTAACTTCAATACCCCGGCAAGAAAAACTGTTTGTGAGATCAACATTCCAACTAAGCTCCTAGAACGACCGAATTTCCATGAATTTAACTAGCTAACTTCGGGGAATACTGGGGGGGGGGGGAACTTTCGTTTCACAAACAGTTTGCCAGAACTTACCCGCATATGAGGGGTTTTCAGTAAGAAGCCCAACTCGTCTGCCTGTGCAGTGAATGAAGCATTATTCACTTTTACCAAATCAGCAAGCACCTGTGTGGCAGTGAGGCAAAATGAAAAAAAAATAGAACAATGACGTGGGTGTGTGCGTGGCGGGGGGCGGAAGGTATGGTGAACTGTATCTCCCGATTATACGCTCACAAATTCAGACGGACTATTCAGTAGCTGTTAGAAATTTCACATCAGTTATGGATTTGTGAATGATTGACCAACTTTTGCAAACAGGTTGAGAGCAGGTATTTTTATCCGTTTCTAAAGTTGATGCGTGAAAACCTGAAAGTATTAGGCGTTATTAGTCACGAGTGTGTAAAATGAGGAGTCATTATCTGTGCGATTATTCTCACCTCATCCCTACGTTGTTTTCTGAGCTCCATGTGAGTTACTGAACCCCAGATCGGCAACTGTAATCAGCCTATTGAAATAATGTGATGAAAACGGTTGGGAAGCCACACGAAGGTCGTCATTGACATCGTACAGAGAAATACAGTGAAGCAACTTTACTGATCGCTGACAAACTCACAGTGCGTGCAAAGTTAGTGGTAAAGTTTGAGGTGGACAGGAATTGGACCTACTTTGAGGGCGGAAGAAGAAGTGGAACCTCTATGGTGAACACACGGAGTATTCAATCAAACTCTACATACATACATTCTGGCCAGGTAAGAAATGACAACAAGAACGCGACTGTTGTCGGTTCGCTGCCGTTTACTTCAATGTCTCCAAACAACCAGATGCGGAATCTTTCGGATTCCAACCAGGAAGGTGCGTAACACCTAATAGCTCTGAGCATTTCTTCATACCTCGTCTTCACATCATCTGTTGACCTCTATGTGGTTTTCTCCAGCCCGGAGCGGCTACAGCGAATAAGTGCAGTGCGGCAGACGACAGCTGAGCATACGCAATACGTGCCATAGTCAGCGAAGTCTACTAATCCGAATTCGATGTGCTAGCAGGTTCATATCTGATAGACTCCTAAACACACGATGGCTTATCTCCAGATTGCTAACCCCATCCGCTCCATCCAACATGGGCCAAACTACGTAAAAATCGATAATCGAAAGTGAAGGTACGATACGGTCAAAGAGTTGTAATTTTTCTGAGTGTTCCTGAGGTAAGATGAGCATTTTATTGGGGAACTTCAACAGGGGACTAATAAACTAATCCATTGATGCACAAGTTAGAGAAAACTTTTCTGAGTAAAAATAAATAATGAAAAATGAGGAATTTGAAACACACTGGGATTTAGATTAAATGGGATTTTGTCAACAGAATTCGGAAGTAAGGAGAAACTCAGTGACTATCCACTCCCAAACTATCTATCTATTCAGACAAAAAAACTCCCGGAAAGATTATTTTGTAAACATTATGGTATATAGCAGTCCATCGATTTTTCAATCAACAAGCACTCGATAAGTGGGCGGGGCGAGGCGGAACGGGGGTGAATAAGCTAACTTGGAGAGAACAGATTAATGAAACGCGCCGTTAAGCTAATACGAAAACTTTATTCAATTTCCATAACCATCAGAAAACAAACCATTGCTGTTTTGACACCCATGGACTGATGAATGAAAAGAAAACGTTCCCAATTAGTTCACGATTTGGTACAAACGAAATGCAAACATGGAGAAATAGATTATGTTGAGCCAATCGTGTAGGGTTTTATAGCCGATACACGTTCGACTTGTTCCAACTACGACTGACCGAATTGGCTAGACCGCGTGCGATGAAAGGAACCGTTTTGTACAAGAGTATCGTTTGCATTGTCGGCTCACCTTAACAAGTACATAACGCGCAGCAATCGAAAACAACGGAAAGGTGCAAACGAAGAAAGGTATTAGAGAACGTATTATATATTATGTCACCTCGATTGGTGATGAAACGTTTGCAATACGCCAAGCTAGGCGAATAAATGAACATCAATCTAGCTATGTGATATCCTTCGGAATATGATATTGTCACCAGTCAGTGGAATATACATGACAAACAGCGCAAAAGTGATACAAGTGAAACGGAACGGTCCACATTGTGTGTGTATCGCACTCACCGCACTGCATTTAATTGTCGCATCATCCGGGACCCGGAAATTCGGTCCTAGCGAATGCGAGTTGATATGATCGTATAACTGGGACGCGGAGAAAAAAAAAGGAGAAGACAAGAATGGCACACATCTAAGTGGACACGGTGAACTGCCGTTATCTTGTTCCATAGTTTGTGAAAAGACAAGAAAAATCTTTTTTCCTATCTTGCTTTACGGCACCAGATAGATGATCGAGAATTTTAACAATACAAGCAAAAAGTACACAGGAATCGATTGCTGATCACAAAATAAAATTCGATTCGATTCGATTCGTATTCATTTCCGTTCGCGGTCCATTTTGTCCAGGACAAAGATTTTTTGAAGCAGATAATATTGAGTTACACACACACACAGACTTTTCGAATTGGTAAATTAGTTGATTGAGGAAAATAGTCCAAATGAAAAATTTGTTCTACCGAAGCAGTGGACGGTCGGAATCCACTAATCTTTTTTCGCGTCTCTCGGTATGTACCGCGTGTGTGCGTCCGTGCGCGTGTGTCACGCTGAGCCTGTGACATCCCGCTCACACCCATCTACGAATACGGTGCGTCACGTCGAGTGGGACAGAAGAGAAACCATTTATTTAGTCAATCACACCAGACGAAAACCGAGTAAAAAGTTGATGAACAAAAGGAAACCGTAAGGCGATATCGATCGAAGTGACGCGACTAGTTGAATTCGACAGGCGTGTCCTCAACTGATTCATTTTGCAGGGGGTGGGGGTAGATGGAAACTGTGGACAGGACGATCAGACATCAGTTAATGAAGCTGATCTCAGTCCAGATACGGAATACGAAGGAGATTCCGTAGTGGAGTCGATTAAATGATATTGCACAGATGAGGCGAGTACGAACGTTACCGGTGCTTGAAAACACTGCATTTAACGTAGATCATTCGTTAGATACGTGGGACACAATTTGATGCTATTTGTATCAAAAACTAATCGACAGTACTTACGTGTAGGTAACAACCGACAAAAGAATGTTATGACACCAATATGTTGCGCGGAAAAAAAACAAGCAAAGTTAGTTTCGTCTTGAAAAGAAAATGCAAAACTGAAACAGTTCTCCGTTGCTATTGTTTAGTCCAGGAGTGCATAACAAAGCTGGGTTACGCAATTGCATGCCAAGTCCGATTTCGCTTCATCTCAACTGGTACAGTACGGCAGTAGAAAACTACAGTTTACATTGTTCAACGGTACATCCGGTTACACAACAATCGTCACACTTCTACCACTGCTACCGCAGTGACAGTTTGACTGACAGCAATATAAACTGCAGTTTTCTGTTGCCTTATTGTACCAGCTGAAATACAGCGAAATCTGCCTTGTCCATAAATCGTTCAACCCAGCTTTGTTGTTATGCTCTCTCACACTCTGTCTTCAAATGTATCTTGGGAAATCGGATGAAGTGTCAGCTCGCATACAGAAGGCTCGGTTGGCATTTGCCAATTTGAGACATTTGTGGCGTCGTCGCGACATCCGGCTGTCTGTGAAGGGTCGGGTGTATGCCGCGACAGTTCGGCCAGTTCTGCTGTACAGTGCAGAAACTTGGCCATTAAGAAAACAAGATAAAGACAGACTGTCGGTGTTTGAACACCGGTGTCTACGCAGCATTGCACGAATCTGGTGGGGTAGCCGGATGAGCAATGCTGAGGTTTGGGGCAGAGATTTGGATAAATACGGTCGCCCACCGGAGCAAGTGGTCAACCTCCATAGATTACTTTGCCTGGGACATGTGTTACGTATGTCACCAGGTAGGTTACCACGGCGAGCGATGTTCGCCGAAGAAGATACCGAGTGGAAAAAAGCCAAGGGTGGCCAAGCTAAAACCTGGCACGAGGGTATGAAAACCCTAGCCAGGAAACTGGGTCACATAGGTCCTGTTAGGCTCCCTGAATGGGGACCTCGAGGTGATTGCAACCGACGGTTAGAGACACTGAGTGACCTGTCTGAGTGTCGTACATAGTGGCGTTTGTGCATCTTCTCAATTTCTTTGCAACCTCAGTCCACTAAAATTCCCAATTTTCTTTTCGATTCCACTTCCAACCTCGCTGTCTTTCTTTTATTCTTCGTCTAAATAGATATCCAAAACTGGGACACGATAGTGCATGGTTAATGATTGTTCAAACTGAAACTGAATCTCGGGAAATGAATGTTTCAATATTCCGGTATTACTGAAACAGCCCGAAGTGCTTTCTGATGCTCGTCTAATGAGAAACGATCAATAGTTTTGTGGCGAATAATTTTTACAGCGTGGAACGCTAAACACAGTCCAGTGATCACCAGCTCAATTTGTAAGTTACCACAAACACTAATCATTTTCAGTTTCTACAACCATTAACATTGCACTTTCGTGCGCTAGCTTTGTTTGCCCATTTAGAGCAAAAAAGAGCAGAACCAAAGAGAAGACAGAGGATTCATACAGCCTGGGGTTCCAAGAATAAGGACTAGATACACGAGTGTCACTCAATGTGTTTAACCACCGGTTATCATGAACTCGGGGTTCCCAGTTTGGGGGACCTAACGGCACCTATGCAGCCCAGTGTAATGGTTAGGATTTTCATACCCACATGCCAGGTCGTAATTTGACCACCTTTCCTTCCGACGGTGAGAGAAGTCTTCGCACTTCATTAGACAGCTACCGCCCGACCAATCTGGGCACTCCCTGTCAATAAGGTTCTGCCCCGTCCACGGTCCGCTTGTCTCATTGGATGCATGAGACGGAGGGTCAATCCCGAACAGTGAACCGACAATCAAAGCACCAGAGAACAATACACTGAACCGAAACCCGAAGGCCTTGCCTGACAGCTCTCTGGAATTTCCCGCACGGGTGCTTTGATCATGCTGTCCTGTTAGACCTACGTCGCACTGCTTTATCGATCAGATTTTTGACTGAAAAGCTCCGATCAGGGTTCCTACAGAGAAACCTCTTCGTCGCTGTGAGTTACTGCGAAGTATGTCGTGCCCCAAAGCCTTAGATACCCATTTGGAAAACACTCTTTCTCATTTGTGCAGCTCTTTTTCTCACTACTAAATCATAGGAAATGTCTCGTGAATATCACTCAGCAGTCAACCAGTAAGGTCAATCAACCAAAAGTTGTCAGGTTTTGGAATCCAAAATCTCCTTTTCATAAATACTATATAATTGATCTGATTGGACCAAGGTGTTTATTATAACAAACAACTAGCAGTACTCGTGCGCTATAGGATTCTCCAGCGTCCGTTGCAAACAGCACGTATTCATGAAGAGCAGGAGGAGGAGGAAAAGATGACCGAACTGGCGGAATTGTGATAACTGGTAAGCATGAGGTGAGTGAATTTCCAACGATACAAATCGATGGCTATGAGATACGATTCGGTCACCACCAGCAGCACCATGTGCAATCTGACCGGTACTATGTTCCGGATCGAGTGCAAATGGGATAAAATGATATTAATGCGATGCACAAAGCCTATTGTATCTATTAAATCGGTGAAGTATTTGAAACAAACTGATTTTTGAATTTATATTCTCGGGAACCTTTTCTCACCGAGCAGCGTTAAGATTGAAAAACTAGACATTTGACTGAGGAGATCACTCCAGTGGTGCTATCTGGAGATGAGTGAATCTCCGCTCTGGACGCGTTTGTAGGAAATGACGGATACTCTTACTCAATTTCACCCTCCTGTTAGTTTGACTAGAGTACATAGATTTCAACAGGACCAAAACAAGTACTAAACAAAACAACCATTGTCGTGGCGAACGTCCACGTTAGTCCACTTTAGCATCTACTCATTATTCTTGTAACTCCAGTCTATGAAAATGTGCAACGTTCCGCTTAAAACTGCTCTCAACATTCTGCTATTTTTTATCCAAATGGGCAACCAAAACCGGCGCACGAAAATGCATGGTCATTGGTTGTAAGAACTGAACTGAACTTTAGCCACGTTTGTCTTCGCCTTTCAGTTACCCCGTGACTTTTCTTGTTTCACTCTTATCAAGCAGTGTTTGTGCGGTCGAGCTATACGACGTACGACACCAACCGGAAGAAACGACGTTGCCACCTACCAAAACACGAATTCACTTGAAGCGACCGGTTCAGAGCGTTCGCCGCATGACACACTATGTATAAATCAGTACATTGTAGGTTCGTGTGACGTATGACAGCCTCACCAGGAATAGTTTATTGTGGGTGCTGGTTTCTCATTGAAACTGTTGCTTTACCTTAGAGGTTTATATTTAACCCCAACCCACGGATGACCTGTCTGCAAGTGTATCTTCGCAACCCCGTACACCGTAGGCCCCGCTGTCCGCCCCATGTACAACCCTAAATAGAGGATACCATTCGTCACAAAACATCATAAAGTGGAGTATGTCAGCAATCACTCCCCAAGGGATTCGGACAAACCGCCTATTTGTCAATTGATAAACCATATCACCGAGTGACTTCCAAATGAGCCCACCCATGTAGTTCCACACGAGATCTGCAAGTGAATTAGAGGCCAAACATTGATTGGTGCGTTCGGATAATGTAACTCAAGGTCAACTGCATCACGTGATCCGAGTCAATACTACTAGAATCCAAGTGTTTTTGAACCAGAAATGAGCGTGGGGAAGAACAAGTGGCAGAAAATTGAAGATATACTCAGCTTTTCGAAACTAAATTGAAAATGGACAAAGAAAAACGAAATGACTCATCGACAAGGCATAGTACAAGTTCCAAGAAAAAAACAGATAGTCAAAGGCGAATTGTAGATAAAAAGAAAGCATGTGCGCCTGCTATAAAGCGGAAAAAAACTGTGGTCAACGTAGATCAATTGAAGGCGGAAGTGCAGATGGATGACCATCAAATTGAGATCGAAGAGCTGTGCGAACGACTGAATACCGATGTAATTATCGGCCTCACAGAATCTGAGGCACAGGCCCGTTTGGCGCAATATGGACCGAATTCTCTTGCCCCACCGAAACAGACCCCGGCATTTTGTAGAGTGATCAAATGTTTAACTGGTGGATTTTCATTGCTACTGTGGACTGGGGCAGCTCTTTGTTTCGCAGCTGCAGCGATTGAGTTCACATCGACCAGAGATCCAGAACTGGACAATCTATGGCTTGGAACGGTTCTCACGGTCGTGGTAATCGTCTCGGGGCTGTTCACTTACTATCAAGAGTCCAAATCATCTCGCATAATGGAAAGTTTCAGCAGTATGGTTCCTCAAACGGCCCGGGTAATTCGTGAATCAGAGCTTACCTCAATCGAAGCCGATAAGCTAGTGCCTGGGGATTTAGTTGAGATCAAATACGGTGATCGGATCCCAGCTGATATTCGATTGATCTACGCGAG